TGCTGGAGAGGCGTTAAGTATGAATGTTACAGGGTGCCGAAGAGCAAAACAACACCTTCGAAAGACAATTTGTGGTATGCCATCATGTAATGGAGGAGAAGACTTTCAGTTCTCTCATAACTCCTAGAACTTCGTGTGGTTGTATAATGAACTCCGGGAACACATTAAGCTCGCTTAGATCCGCAATGTGGCTATGTGGCTAGTCCAAATGTTGGATGGGTTGGGTAAACACACTTGCGAAGTGATGCCCCAGATCTGTGGCCATTTCGCAGTCGGAGTTGGGGGTCTGATTCTCATCATTTACAATGCTTATGGGTTTGGTGCGGCGTTAACCTTCCCTTTGAGGTACTTGAAAAAAGAGGAGTCTTCACGATTCAACAGCCTACACTCGCAATAGGCGAGGTATTTTCTAACGTGACAACTAATGTTAGAACAGACTTTCCTATAATTCGCATTGTTCAGAGGATTCTTCAACTCTCGGAACAGGCGAACTTTCTGGTCAATTAAATTTCTGATATGGGTGGGGTATTGATGATATTTTCCCTTACTGTAGCGGAAAGGCACTGAACTAGGGAAGAAGTCATAAAGAACTAGACAAAATTTGTAGTAAAGATCTGCAACTGAGGCGTAGTTGTTGAATATCAGATTCCAATCTACTGTGTTTAGACAGTCACTGAGGTTCCGATAATCAACTCGGCTAAACACAGGTTCAGGTAGGAATGAACTCTCTTCCTTGATATGGTCAATTTCAAACTTCACAATATTATGCAGGGCAGAGTTCCAGAGAGGACGAAGAATGTCAACATTTTCAATCTTAGTTCCAGAAGATAAGATCAGGTCCAAGACGGATTCCCCGCGAGTAAAGGACTTAACCCATTGTTTGAGCTCGCAGCACTTAAAGGCTTCTTTGAAGCATATCGGCTCCTTTGAGTGCTTTGTCGTTCTCCCAGTCAGTGCTCAAGTTGAAATCACCACTGATAACAGTGGGGTTTGTTGTGGATCATATGTCATATAGAGAATCAATTAATTCATTATCATAATTAGCCGTGGCTGTGGTGGCCGATAAACAACAGCTATCCGCAGTGGCTCAGTAGAGAAGTCCGAAGTGATATCGAACCAGAGCACGTCGAAAGAAGATTGCTTACGTCGATTCGGTTCGAACATATGTAAAAGCGATAGCTTGTTAACCAAACTGTGCAAATTGAACAAGAAACAACGCAAGTGGGTGCAGTTCCCACGCATCACTGACGGTTTCCCCGCTCTGATCGAGGGCAGCTCGCTGGTCTTCTTCAGTTCACTTTTATAAACTACCCACTCCTTGGATCCTGCACTTTTATTCAACTTTCTAGCCTGCTGCCTAAGTTTGTAGTCCATTGCCCGCTGTTCAGCTGACATACTGCGCCTTATGAACACATCAGACATTGTGGATCGACACGACACAGCAGACACGCATTAGCAAGAATCTTTGACCAGTGAATGTTAGACGGCAATAGAACTTTTACTAACCTAGTTTTCGAGTAGGGAATGCTTTCATCCTGTAGACTGATTCAGGTCGACACTCAATATCAAGAATGTCTAAAATACCTCCTATCTTATCCTCTAGTTCTGCTTGTCGTCGCGATGGTGGTATTTTGTGAGATTCCTCTGGTAGCCCGGCTATAACCACACTACGACCTTTCTGATATTCTTCTAGGGCACTGGAAATCGGTTAAACAAGTTTTTCTTGTAATGCCAAAATCATTTCATGCATTCCTGGATCGCAACCCATCTCGAGCAATGCATTAAGAAGTTCATTAATAGAACAGTTACGATATTCGGAGCTGCCTATATCAGAAACTCCTGTCGGTTTTTGAGAAGCGTTTTTTGAATTTTGTCTATTTCATTTTTCCTGCCAATGCGAAAGCGCACAGAAACACTCCGGCTAAGGCGTATAATAGATCAGGGCAAATCAAAATACTCCTAGATCGATCGATAGCAATTCCCAATCACGGAGAATGCCAATGGTATGGATAAGAAAGCAGTCTGCCTAGACAGCGAAAGGAAAAAGTCAGAAAAGTATTTGATTGATCAAGCAGATATTAAGATTTGTTGCTTTGTTCTCTGCTACAAATAGCCCAAAGACAACTCACAGGTATACCAAATCAACACGTCTGAATGTGTATTAACAATGTGAAACTCCAAAAGTTTATTCCAAAAAACTCAAAAGACAGCAAAAGTCTCAAGAGGTTTTTGAAATATATCTTATCTGGCTATATTTCGGTGCGTAGCACCTTCTTCAAGCCTGAAATTATTTAGCTTGTTTTATGCACAATATAAGCCTACAGAGATGTAACTCGCACGGACTCCTCCCATACAAGGCACTTCCCGAGATGATCTTTGGGCCAAATTAGCCAACCCACCCTAACCACACCCTTAAATAGTGGGATGTGACGCGATCACATTATGACTTGCATAATGTCACGTAGTTCCTCCCTATTGTTTATTTGGGGTGTTAGCCGTTTTATTTCCAAGGCCTCCAATATTTTCCTTTCCATTGCGCTCTCTACCGAGCGGTGTAGTACTTTGACCATTAAAGAGGGGGGTTCCTGGTGAGCGTGCTCCATTATGCGATGCCGGGAGAAACTGCTATTAGGGTAAGAAGGTGGATTTCCCAGCGCCCTCCGGTTTTCGTCGATCCGTTTGTATAGGGGCCCTCCCAGTTTCTCCCACATATTTTTGCCCGCATCCTTGACATTCCACCAGATAAACTGTCCCCCTGAGTTGGCAGATTTTAGAGTCACTGCAGTAACTACAGCCTGCCCTTCCACATTTATCTTCATAAGGCCTGGAGAATGTAAGGAGCCGTTTTGAACTTGCGAAATATTAGGCGTATAGGAAGTGGTGAGCAGTTTACAATATTATTTACTTTTAATGCCGTGCTTTCATTCAGGTAAGGTAATACCGAGGGAATTCCGTCCGCCGCGGTTTCCATGTATGTGTGCGGGTGCTTGTATACCCATTCTCTCTTAGAATTCTATCCAGCATCGAGTCTGCTTCTGATGACTTCTGGGTGCATATTTTATCCTTAGTGATCACCATATTCCGGACAACATTGGCTTTCATGTACAGGGAGTGACCACTTCTAGCATGCAGCAACACCTTCTTCGAAGCTGGCTTCTATACCAGGATAACTCCGTAGTACCATTACTGATCCGAACTTTGGTGTTCAAGAATGGGATAAATCCTTCATTGTTGGGGTTATCCACAGTGAACCTAATGTTAGGGTCCTGCGAATTCAAATTGACTACGATCAAGTTTATGAATAATGAACGAGAAAATTTAATTATGATTTGCTGCCCGAAGGGGCTGTATCATATTCGGGAAACGCGAACAAGCAGTTCTGAGGAAACAAAGCAATGTCTCAATTTGGTACCAATATGGTCTTACCAAATCAACACGGTGAAAGCCAGAGCCCAGTCGAGCGCCGCCGCACGCTAGTTGCCAGAGGATTATCGCAAAAAGAGATTACCCATAGAAATCGAACTCCTCGTAAGGCTGTGAGCCCGCTGGAAAGGGATTCCTCCTAAGGCTCTGAGCCCGGAAAGGGGATTTCAGCGCGGTGCAGAGCCAGTCGGTAGGCGATCTGATGCATCGGAGATCAAGGGCGAAGGGGGAGCTCAGCCGGATGCAAGCCCTGCTTTCCGAAAATAACGTGGAAGGGACCTTACTGAAGGTCAACGACGCCTCAAGGAAATTTCAGCGGTTTTAAGGACCATCCCTCAAAATGGGTGCCTCTTCTTGCGAGCTCCCACACATGCTGGTCCCATTTCTTCCATCGGTGTTTCCCTTTGGGTAAGAATTATCCAATCAATAATGAAACAGGGTCCTTACCCGTAGCTTGTGTCAAAACATAGCAGCGAATGCAAGCAAGACTTCTCAAGACTTGAGCAACCATTCATACCAGTTGGCCATGGCGCCCTCGTTCCAGCGGAAGTCATAGGGAACATGCCAGCACTTCGGCACAAGGGTATACCAACGGCTCTCGTGGAACTGACATGGTGGATAGAAGCGGAAATAGAAAGCTTAAAAAGAGCTTGCCTGCCTCGAAAAAAATATCGAGCAGAAGCAGACGGGAAAAGGAAATCAAATGTGCAATGTAATCGCGGCGAACACCCCTATGAATCGAAGCCGGCACCATATGGCGTACAGCGTGGATAAGACAAATGAAACAGAATAGAAAAAAAATGCGCAGAGAGCTCTACAAACCTATCAACACTGAGTTAATAACATAAAAGTGTGGAAGCATAAAAAGTGTGGAACTTCGCAACAGAAACTGCTTTTTTGTATCGACAGATCGCCGTTGACCTCACCCGAAAGAACATCCCATCCTTTCGCCATCTGAATTGGTTTTATTCAGAATAAGGAGTGAAGCGAGTCCGTAACACAGATCTTCCTCAATCTGTTCTTAAACACCTTACTGTTTCCAGATCTGAGCAACTCGGGTGGTAGCTTGTCCATCATCCTGGCCATACGACAGAAATAGGAATAAACATAAGTGAATCGAATCTTTTTTGAATTTTTAAATAGCTCAAGCCAAAACTGCCTGTACTCTCCCTCAGGGTCTAAAAACCCTGCTAGGTTTCAGCCTCGTTTCACTTCTGAGGATGCGAAAACAAAGTGTGAGGTCATTGACTAACCTCCTGTCTTTGAGGCTGAGTAGTCCTAACCATTTTAGGCGCTCCTCATACTTTGGCACGCTATTCGGTTTCGTTTTCGGGTGTACTCTAAGGTACACCAGTCTTGTGAAAGTCTGCTGTACCTTTTCCACCATGGCTATATCTCTCTTCAGGAAGGGATTCCAAATTTGAGAGCAGTAGTTTACGTGTGGCAATACGTATGCATTATACAGTCGGACCAGAGTTTTGGGTTCTTCAAGTTGAATGTTTCGGAAAATTAGGAAAAGCGCGGCGAATGCTTTTTTTAACCACCTGCTCAATCTGTGAGGAAAACTTCAAGTCATCTTATAATACGACTCCAAGCTCCTTGAACTTACTGCAGCCTTCCAGGAATGTCTCACTGATTTCATACCTCGGAGAAAAGCTATCCCCAAAGTGCAGAAGGGAACACTTGTTCAAGTTGATCGTCAAGCCCCAGATGCCGCCCACTCGGCCTAGGGATAGGCTAAAAGCTGCTTGAACTTCACTCTTGCTGGTAGTATCGTATGCGGCATATATTTTTATGTCATCAGCATACATCTGAACCTTCACCTCGGGCGAAGTAGTAATGTAAACAGGGAGGTCCAGTGTATATACTAAGAAAAGCAACGGTGATAAAACGCTTCCCTGAGGGACACCACTTTAACAGTGGTGTCTGTCAGAGAAGCTGTGACTAGCCTTGACCGTCATGTGATCGTTGATTTGGAAAAGATCTCAGCCAATCTAGAAGCTGCCCCGAAATCCCCAGATGCTGAAATTTGATTAGCAATCTACGGTGGCAGACCTTATCAAATGCTTTGGACAGGTCAACAAAGACTATGTCTACAGATTTGCCACTATTCGGATTGTCAGTCAAACAAGCTATCTAATAGGTTGGAGACCGTGGAAGCCCCACTCAAAAAACCATGTTGTTCTTTTGGAATCATGTTGAACTTCTCAAGCCAGCACAGTATCTTGTCTCCGATCAGTCTCTCCATTAGCTTACTGGGGGCAAGCGTAATGCTTATCGGTCAAAAATCGGATGTTTGATGTTTGCAGCCTTAGGAGATTTAGGTATGGCAGTGACCAAGGCTTCTTTCCACAAATCAGGTACCTCACCAAGAATCATAGAAATGTTGAAAACATGTGTTAACGGCAGGCATAAGGATGAAGCAAATTCTTTATAGACTATCTGGGGAATCCCATCGTATGTTTCTGACGTAGAAATGCGTTCCAGCATCTTGCGGACATCTCTAGGTCATCTGGTACGTTTTGCTCAGAGCCAGTGCTGGAAAATACGGAAGCAAAATATTCGCCTAATATCCTGGCTTTCTGCATATCTGAAATGTATTTCTTGCCCGAGGTATCAAGCATAGGTAACCCTGAATTATCTCTTGATTTCTGTCTATTATAGTGGAAAAGCAGTCATCGGCCAGCGTAGTGTTTGGAGGGCGATAGACCGAGATGATCCTCAGAGGAGAGGCGGTCCTATGTATAAGAATATCATGGCCCCAGCAGAGTATGTCTGGGGCCATGTTGGTGTTTAACTTCAGTTCCGTGCAGTTTAGAAAAGACCTCACCATGCAACAGACTCCTCCTCCTTTTCTCTGGGTACGGTCGCTCCGATACAGGAAGAGATCAAGAGCGAAAGGGGATCTTTGCCGAATCCGAGCCCTTGTTAATGGTGATTCCATGCTTTCCAAAGATGACGTGGAAAATACCATATTAAAGGTCCATGACGCGTTAAGGATATATCAGCGACTTTAAGACCACTCCCCTCCCCGAAATACCCCGAAAAGTCACTTTGGGCTTTGGGGGCTGGTCTTTCCACTTTCAGACCATACTGGTAGAGGTGTAAAGCGCAGCGAACGCGTAGGCCCTCCAAGTCACGGGCAACGAAGCTACGGGCCCACGAAGTGGCAATCCTGAGGGGTCTTTCCATTTTTAGACCACATGGGTAGAGGTGATGAGATCGGCCCAATTCGACGAATTTACCGAAAAGTCACTCTGGTTGGAAATGTTTAGGTGTTCGAAAGTGCTCATGTTCCGCTTTTTCAGAAGAAAAAGATGGAGGAAAAGAAAAGCAGTAAATGTGCCGAAACTTCTGTACAGCCTGCGGGTGATCGAGCTTAAGGAGCTAGGCATTCACCTAAAAATCTCCGTATTACTTGGCCGCGAAGGAGGTGATCATCAAAGCTCAGGAGAATAAAGACGAAAGACGCAAGAAAACTAAAGCAGCAGTCTAAACTAAAGGTCATCCAGGACCATGCGGTGTTTCAGGAAAATGCGGCTAAGGAGGAGCGTAAGACTCATTCGTTGACTATCGGGTGCAACCGAGTGGGGAGAAAGCAGCACTAAAGGAAGCCAAGTGTACCACAAGCTGCGGGGCGAAACGTGCAAACTTGCAGGAATCGTTTATCCGTAGTAGACAAGCCTGTATGAATCAGATTCAGATGCACCAGAACAGTCACTTCCTCAAACCCCAAGGACCGCAGAGAATAAACAAAGAGTTTTTCGTCCAAGTAAAGAACTATTGAAGGAAGTTGCTCTCAAGTTTAGTCCCACACACTTTGTGGAACCGCAGCAGCCGTCCGGTCAAAATGTCACCGAAGCCAAAGCGAGCCTCAGTAAGCTTCCTCTGATAACTTCTTTTTCAGCTTTTGTCCCTCTCTGTGGCGCGCGGTCCGCTCACTATTTTGTGAAGCCAAAATTTTCTCTCCATTGGATGTCTGATCGAGATGGGTGCCAACTATCTTCAAGCCCACATGCAATGTATCTAGAGGGCTTTCCGGGCACTTCCAGCTCGAGACCATTTATGAACGTTAACAATTATCATAAAGTATACGACCATACCATCGAAGGTGCGCTTCGCACACTTTTTCAACTAGTCCATGGAGTGCTTGCTGGTATTCGCATGCGACTCGTTGGGCTGGAATACAGGATGCGAATCCACTCAACCAATTTTTCGGGAACGCCGTGCTCTCGTAAGGCGCACCATACAACCACACGCGGACACCATTGAATGCCCTCCCCCTCCTCAAGTCAAGGAAGACTATGGACATGCTTCTGCTTCTCACGATGTCTTTCCAAAAAGAGGTGAGCGGCATGCATTTCATCGCTGGTGCCAAACCGGTCACGAAGCCACTCTGGCTGGTAGAGATCTAAACGAGCGGATTCGACCGCCAACTCGCTCACAATTTTTCATGCTATGCGAGAGCAGGGGAAGATAATTTGAGAAGACTGCAGGTCTGAAATTTTCCCCTCCAAATCGGAGCCGTGTTGCTCTCTTGTCGCCCTTTAGACACCTTCTTCCCTGCAACTACCTAATAAGAGTCAAACATCGCCTGAGCCTGTTGCTTTGTCTGGCTCTCTGCTTGAGAGCCGCTTCTGTTCCTTTATGGTTATCTTCTGTAAGGAACCATATATTGGTGAGGCATTAGGTATGGCAGGGTGTGTGTATTCTACTGCAGAATTTTTCTCGAAATATTTTCTCCGTCGCTTTGGAAACCTCTTCCAGTCCATCAGAAAACGCCCTTTTTGTTCGTTTTGGCACTTCCGCTGAAAAGTGATAGGGTGGGAGTCGCGCCTACGGGCTTTGTTCTCACCATGGCTAGATTATGGGCTCCATACCCGGAATGCGCTATCTTTAGCCCACTATCGCCATCATGTGTTCTCCGTGACCGAAACCAGCATGACCACTGTGACCATCTTTCGCGGCTCCTACGTTCCCTTTGAAACCGCTAGAGACGATGGCAGCATCTCCTGACGGTATTTCAACTGTCTTCTCCTCAAGCAGAGACCAGAACTCGTCTTTTGATAGCTCGGTGCATCCTGTTTGGAGAAGGTAATACGCAGAAAAGAAGTGGATTCGATAGCTAGAGCAACATCCATTAAACGGCCACCGCAACATTCAACGCTAGCTATAGAGTAAAGCCGCGACCAATGTCTCGCGACTTATAGCTGGACCATCTTGTCCCCTGCACCGCGCCGAGATCATCTTGAATCTTGCCAGTAGCTTGCCGCCTCGCATGAGAGTCCGTCAAGGTCTGCAGCGTCCAAAAAAGCGGCTGACAAGGAATGGGCAGTCTGCCTGAGTGACTGTACAGAAGTCTTCTGAATGCTCCAGGTGGTGTGCTAAATGGAATTTACCAGATTCATCATAAAGTCGGCGGATCTGCACCATCTCCACAACAACGGTCACACCAACACCATCAGCACCCGCAACAACAACACCGGTCGCAACATGAGCATGTGAAACAACAACATCTGCTGCAACAGCAACACCATGCAAAACAACAAGCACAACTGAAGCAGCGACCCCCGCACCAACAACACCCACATCAACAACAACCTGCTGGCCACCAACCCAAAGGAGTTTCGCCGTGAGCGTCAGATTAACTTCTCGATACTAGATCGAATATAGTAGGCCAGGTAGGTAGATACGGTCTAAGATGCTAACGAACTGCTGTTTAGCGCCGCAGTCCGCGTTCAAGAGTTGACACAAGAATGCTGTGTTATGGGCAAGAGTCTCTACCCCAGACGGGACTTGAACCCTAATTCCATGCTGACAGAGCGGACCACAGCCTGAACTGATGGGTCGGGCGGGAGGGGGGCAGTATGGTGGCTGTACACACGCCACAATTTCACGACACCTAATCCAGCTGCCTGCTACCATACTCTAGTACTAATCTGCAACCCTCATGCATCCCCATACTCGTCTTCGGGTACGCTGGCAGACGCTAGATCGATAAACATACTTCCCTAATCCCTCAGGAAGCTTATGGTAGCAGGTGGACGCTGATAACGCTGCTTCCGCTATATCAATATCTAAATATTCCTAGTCGCTGGCGCTGACGGACGTCTGAAACGCCGATATCGCTGATGGGAGCTGGTGGTCACTGGTGGACGATAACGCAAAGTATGAACGTAGCCATAGCCGGCTAGAGGATCATGAGAGAATCGCGCGTTGAGGCATTCCGGCAGCACCGTGGGTATTTCGTCCAATGCCAGAGGCTGAAACATCCGTTCTGGTCCGTTTGTAAGCAATAACAAAAGAACATCTTCCTCCGAAACCATGCAAACGGGGCTGAACTAACACTTTTGGGGAAAGCCCCTTATTCGCTATTCACGCTCTCCCAAGTACACGAAAGTTATGGCGAGGGTATCAGGCAGATTAAATAAATTCCAGTTGAACAAATTACTGAGCTACTTTGCCATGCATAGGATCATATCCGTAAGACCGTTCAAAAGAATAATAGCGCTCGTAACCTTGGAGGAAAGACGTAGCTCATGCAAAGCCAGCGTACCAGATGTAATTTAATAAGAAGGTTTATTTGGCGCTTATCGACGGGGGTCATTCCGCTTTTCATAGATTTGCCACCCCATCTAGGTACCCTTTTTTAGAATTGACACGTTTAGGATGATGGCTACACGATCTTGCTCCAGCTTCACAAACGTTCACAAGTTTTACCAGAGTTAGCTTTATAAACCGGAACCAGAGAAGCAATTATAATACAAAATGCCCCCCGTCGATAAACAGCGCCGCTTTTTTCCCTAAGCTGAAGAGGGGAACTAGCTCCTGAAAGAATGAGCAAGTTTAAATTACTGTCACGCTAACAAACGTCAATTCTAGTTCTGCCTAACAAGCCTCTCAAATGCATTCTCCATGCTTACTAGCTCCAGACCATGAGCTAGAGTTTCAAAGACAAACT